TTTCTAAGGAAAAAAATCGTATAAAAACTTTATAAAAAACGTATCCAATTTTTTTATAGGGAATAGTATTATCCAAAAGAATATTTCCACTGTGGAAATCATCATGAATTAAATTACTTTTATGTAAATTTAGAAGTACACTTGCAATTTTGATATTTTTCAAGTGGATTATATTTTTTTTTATTAATAAATTAGATCCTTCATTTGCTAAAGGCATTACTATCGATGTTTCTGGACCTTGAGTTATTCCAAAAATGCGTACAGTTGACAAAGCATTTGAACTCACACATTGTAAATGATTTTTCATCTAAAAATTAAGTTATTTATCAAAATAAATACTAATATTCGAAGAATTTATTTTTCATTTTTATTAAGTGGTGACTTGACATTTTTTTCTTTTGCAATTTCATAATCCTCTTGGACACTATTACCAAAAGTTATAAACCCATCTAACCAAATTGCCTTATAAACCACCATGAGTTAGATATTCGATAATTCTTAATCTTTTAAAGGAATCTATTCTATAAAGTCACGTTGACTGTTAATGAGCCTCTTGGATAAACTTGCAATGTATTTATTTCCGCTAGTCTAATTCTGTTGTAATAATTTGCCAATGCAAGTCAGGCACCTAAGACCAGTATTTGGTCGTTTACAATTAAAATATATGTTATGTATGCCATTAATACAGTATTTAAAAAAACACTGAAATTATGAAATTCCAACGAAGTTATATTTATGTTGGTTGATTTTCAAACAAATTAATCTATATAAGGTCATCTAAATAAAAATGATTGGCTTTAGAGTTTCGATCCGTAGCGGTTTTATCCGGTTTTTATCCGGATACCGGCTCGGTTAATTTAGGTTGGGACCACCAAAATTAATAAAAATTTATGGAATAATATTATTTTAATTCTGGCCGAAATTATAGTCCACTCAAAGCCGAAATTTGTAACCTTTTTTAATCATAATCCCACGTTAAAATATTTGAGGTTTTATCCGGATCGAAACACTAATTGGCTTATCGTGTATTACACTAACGGAGTTAGTTTTAACTTTATAAATTTTAAATTTCGAAGAATTACAAAAGAGAAATCTATACATAGAATATGTTTACTCTAATTAAATAAATATTTTCAACATATTATATCATATTTTTGAAATAGGACTGTTCAGATTTTATTTATTTTATTTTTAATACTGTATTCATAAAAAAAAAAAAATAAATTAAATAAACTAAGATTTTTGTTGTTTATTATCAACAAAAAAAAGTTTATATATTTATATATATGAATTTAGAATTATATATATTAAATTGTTGCAAATTTTATATCTACCTACTAGTAGAAATACACCATATTTTTATTATCAAAAAAATCAAGTAATCTAAATAAACAATTTCAACTTTGAATAGTCCTGCTGATTCAGTTTATTCTACGCTAAAATTTTTTGCAATACAAAAAATAGTTACGAATATAATATAGTCAATTGCCTACTTTTTAATTAGAAATTACCACATTTAGCATCACTATTGATCTACATCCATCATGTTTGTCATCAAATTTAAAGCTGAAAATTATTTCTTTTTTGTGGATGAAACGCCATCAATTTTTATCGCAGAAATTATAGCAGTGTTTGTGATATGTCTAATTATTTATAAAAATTTTAGATTTAGAGGTTAAAACTGTCACTATGATAGAAACGTGGTACAAGTTATATTAAAGCTGAAACGCTAGATGGAGTTGGACGCTAGTTGAATTCATACCAGATTTTTTGTGATATCTGATCATTAATTTGCACCGATAATGTAAAAAGTTATTTTCATGGTACATCAAAATGGCAGATAAAGTGTTATGGTTATCTGACTTGCAATTATTATCATTGGCAAATAGCATTGTAATTTGTAAATACTGTAAAATTATGAAAAATAGAATAAGTGATAATGATGATTAAAATTTTTGTCGTACATATTGTAGTTAAAACATAAAGTTTTATAGTAGTACATTTTAACTAAAATTTTCAATTAAATTTTATGTATATTTTTGTTAATTTCGGTGCACTTTAATTAAATTTGACTGTAAGCTTTACCTATTTTTCTAGATAAGGTTCACTATATAAAATTTCTTGTATTCTGGGATCCTCTCATTAATCAGAAATTATAAAGTTATCTAAGTTGAAAATGTTAAAAAAGTATAAAATTAAAATGTTTGAAAAGTAAATTACAGTAATAAAAAGGTTAAAAAAATTTGGCATAATATTTTTTTTTTTACCTAAACTTTCACTTAATAATGTTATTTCATTAATAATTCCTTTTTTTTCATCTATTACGAATTTAGTGCTTAATTCTTCCTGAGATAAAATTTCATTTATTTTTGCAGAGTAATTTATTTTTCTGCTTGTGTAGCAAGATAATGGATGATTCTTAGTAATTAGTTCATTACCTAAATAAATATTTTAATAGACTTTTTATAATAATTTGATAAAAGAAATCCGAATAATTAAATGAAATAAAAAATTTTATAACTCACTAGGGACAGCTATAATTTTATTACCAAAGTCTTTCGGATAACAGTAATATCTGTCTCTTATACACATCTAGATGTGTATAAGAGACAGGCTGTACCACTTTTATTAGGATCAGAATCCCAACACCTCTTCATTAATCTTGCATAAACTGGCAATGTACCTTTAACGATTTCTGGTCTCAAACCTTTACAAATATCTAAAGAAAGATTAAAATCATGAGGTCTATCGTTGAAAGTAGGAATACCAGATGTAAATTCCCACATAATAATTCCAAAAGAATAAATATCGGCTGCTTTAGTATATGGTTTACCACGTAATACCTCTGGAGCCATATAAGGAATCACTCCATAAATTTCATTCGAATTAATAGTTTGATTTACTGGTCTACTTAATCTAAAATCTGTCTCTTATACACATCTAGATGTGTATAAGAGACAGACTTAATCCAAAATCACTTATATAATTTATAGAGGCAACATTACTACTACAAAGGATATTTCCACTATGGAAATCACCATGAACTAAATTACGTTTATGTAAAGTTAGAAGTGCATATGCAATATCCGCTAAATCTTCATATTTTTCAAGTGGATTATATTTTATTATTAATAAATTAGATCTTAAATTTCCTCCATTCATTAAATTCATTACTATCAGGTAGTTCGATGTTTCTGGATCTTGGGTTATTCCAAACATGGGTACTGCTGCTGCATTTGAACTCAACATACATTGTAAATGATTTTTCAACTAAATATTAATCAAATATAAATAAATAATAAGTTATTTTATTAAAATAAATGCTGCACATGTTTTTTTTTTTTTTTGAAAGAAAACTTACTTCATTTAAGAAATAATCACTAATATTTGAAGAATTTTTTAAGCTTTTTAATGCAACGCGAATTCCCTCTTTTTCATTTTTATTAAGTGGTGACTTGACATCTTTTTCTTTTGCAATTTTATGATCCTCATAATTAAGTGGATTACGATGTCTTTTGACACCATAATTTATATATCCATCTAACCAAATTGCCTTATAAATGGTACTGAAACCGCCATGAGCTAAATATTCAATATTTCTTAATCTATTAAAAGGAATCCATTCTATAATTTCATAAGAATTATTTGCTTTTAGTTGAGCCTCTTGGATAAACTTGTCGATGTATTTATTTCCGCTAGTCCAATTCGGTTGTAATAATTCACTAATGCATTTTCGGCATAAATCACCGGTTTTTGGTCGTTTACAATCGAAACATACGTCCAACATGTTTAAAGAACTGAAACGCTGAAATTACGAAGTTATATTATTTATATATGTTGATTTCAACAAATAACCTAATAAGGTCATCTGGATTATCATGTATTACATTAACGGAGTTAATTAATTCCGAAGAATCACACGAGAATATCTTTTATTTTACATAGAATATTTTTTTATATCTAATTAAATAGATATTCTCAACATATTATATCATGTACTATATCAAATGTTGTTAAAATAGGACTGTTCAGATTTTATTTATTTTTATTATTATTATTCCGTCATTTATTCATTAAAAAAAGAAAATTCAATAAACTAAGATTTTTATTGCTTATTAACAAAAAAGTTTATATATATATTTAAGAATTTAGAATTATATATAATAAATGGTTACTAAACTTTATATCTACCTATACGAAATACACCATATTTTTAAAATATATTATTAAAAAAAAATAGAAATTTTTATCTACATAGTAAGAGTTGATGATTTTCACGGCTGCGCCGTGAAAATCATAATATTTATACGACACGTGAAATAACTCCGTCCAGTGATGGGAAAAAGTGGAAAGACTATAAAAACACGTGAGCATGAAAAATATCATCAGAAACATTACAGGCATGAATATATCATCAAAAAATCACTGGCGACCAATTAGTAAACATGAGATAATCTAGAATAAATAATTCCAAACTTTCACTAGTCCTGATTCGGTTGATTCTTCGCAAAAAAATTAAGAAAAAAAAAAATTTTTTTTTTGCAAAAATTAATGGTACAAAAAAATAATAAATAATTACAAATACAATATAATCTCAATTGTCTACTCTTTTAAAATTTTCTTTAATCGGGAATTCTAAAGTTTTCTAAGTTGAAAATTTTTTTTTAAAAAAAAGTATAAAATTAAAATTTTTTGAAAAATAAGTAAAAATTATAATAAAACATGTTTAAAAAATTTGGTATATAAATTTTTTTTTTTTACCTAAATTTTCACTTAATAATGTTATATCATTAATAATTCCTTTTTTTTCATCTATTACGATTTTAGTGCTTAGTTCTTCCTGAGATAAAATTTCATTTATTTTTGCAGAGTAATCGATTTTTCTGCTTGTGTAACAAGATAATGGATGATTCTTTGTAATTTGTTCATTGCCTAGTAAATAAACGGTTTAAAATAAATAAAGTAATCTTATAATAGATAATAATTTTCAATAAAGTCATTCAATTCTTTTTTAACTTACTAGGAATTACCCTATCATTCTCGTAACATTTCGGTAAATAATCATACCAAAAATAAATGATTTGATATAATTCATCAGCTGTTGGTCTTTTATTAGGATCAGAATCCCAACACCTCTTCATTAATCTTGCATAAACCGGCAATGTACCTTTAAAAATTTCCGGTCTCAAACCTTTACAAATATCTAAAGAAAGATTAAAATCATGAGGTCTATTGTTGAAAGCAGGAATACCAGATGTATATTCCCACATAATAATTCCAAAAGAATAAATATCAGCAGCTTTAGTATATGGTTTACCACGTAATACCTCTGGAGCCATATAAGGAATCACTCCATAAATTTCATTCGAATTAATAGTTTGATTTACTGGTCTACTTAATCCGAAATCGCTTATATAAAATGAACTATAGGAAATATTACTATTTAAAAGAACATTTCCACTGTGGAAATCACCATGGATTATATTACATTCATGTAAAGTTCGAAGTGCATTTGCTATACGCATTAAATTATAGTATTTTTCAAGTGGATTATATTTTTTTATTAATAAATTAGATCTTAAATTTCCTCCATTCATTAATTCCATTACTATCATGTAATTCGATGTTTCTGGATCTTGGGTTATTCCAAATATGCGTACTGTTGACAAATCATCTGAACTCAAACAGTGTAAATGATTTTTCAACTAAATATTAATTAAATATAAAATAAATAATAAAGTTATTTTATCAAAATAAATACTGCATATATATATTTTTTTTTAAAAAAAAAAAACTTACTTCATTTAAGAAATCATCACTAATATTTGAAGAATTTTTTAAGCTTTTTAATGCAACATGAACTCCCTCTTTTTCATTTTTATTAAGTGGTGACTTGACATCTTTTTCTTTTGCAATTTTATGATCCTCACAATTAAGTAAATTACGATATCTTGCGACAGAACTTATATACCATCTAACCAAATTGCCTTATAAATGGTACTGAAACCGCCATGAGCTAAATATTTAATATTTCTTAATCTATTAAAAGGAATCCATTCTATAAATGCACCATAACTGTTTACTTTCAATTGAGCCTCTTTGATAAACTTGTCGATGTATTTATTTCCGCTAGTCCAATTAGGTTGTAATAATTTGCTAATGCAAGTCAGACAATAAATACCAGTTTTTACTCGGTTACAACGGAAACATACGTCAACCATGTTTAAAGAAACACTGAAATTACGAAGTTATATTTATGTATGTTGATTTTCAACAAATAACCTATATATCTGAATTATCATGTATTAGTAATACATGATAATCCACATTAACGGAGTTAATTATTCCGAAGAATTACACAAGAAAAATTCTTTTATTCTACATAGAATATCCAACTAAATAGAAATTCTCAACATATTATATCATATGTATCAAATGTTGCTAAAATAGGACTGTTCCGATTTTATTTATTTTATTATTAATATTCATTTATTCATTTAAAAAAAAAAAAAAATTCAATAAGATTTTTATTATTTATTGTTTATTAACAAAAAAAGTCTATATATTTAGGAATTTAGAATTATATAGTACAATAAATAGTTACAAATTTTATATCTATCTATGCGAAATACACCATATTTTTAAAATGTATTATTAAAAAAAAAAAATCGAAATTTTTATCTATAAAGTAAGTAATCTAAAATAAACAATTTCAAACATTCATTAGTCCTGATTCGGTTGATTCTTCGCAAAAAAATTAAGAAAAAAAAAAATTTTTTTTTTGCAAAAATTAATGGTACAAAAAAATAATAAATAATTACAAATACAAATATAATCTCAATTGTCTACTCTTTTAAAATTTTCTTTAAATCGGGAATTCTAAAGTTTTCCTCTTTTAAAATTTTCTTTAAATCGGGAATTCTAAAGTTTTCTAAGTTGAAAATTTTTTTTTAAAAAAAAGTATAAAATTAAAATTTTTTGAAAAATAAGAAAAAATTATAATAAAAGATGTTAAAAAATTTGGTATAATGTTTTTTTTTTTTACCTAAATTTTTACTTAATGATGTTATATCATTGATAATTTCTTTTTATTCATCTATTACGATTTTATTGCTTAGTTCTTCCTGAGATAAAATTTCATTTATTTTTGCAGAGTAATCGATTTTTCTGCTTGTGTAACAAGATAATGGATGATTCTTTGTAATTTGTTCATTGCCTAGTAGATAAAGGTTTAAAATAAATATAGTAATCTTATAATTGATAATAATTTTTCAATAAAGTCATTCATTTTTTTTTTTAACTTACTAGGAATTTTATTCCTTTTATTCTCGTAACATTTCGGAAAATAATCACACCAAAAAGCAGTGATTTGATGTAATTCTTCAGCTGTTGGTCTTTTATTAGGATTAGAATCCCAACACCTCTTCATTAAACTTGCATAAACTGGCAATGTACTTTTAACAATTTCTGGTCTCAAACCTTTACAAATATCTAAAGAAAGATTAAAATCATGAGGCCTATTGCTAAAAGCAGGAATACCAGATGTAAATTCCCACATAATAATTCCAAAAGAATAAATATCAGCTGCTTTAGTATATGATTTCCCACGTAATACCTCTGGAGCCATATAAGGAATCACCCCATAAATTTCATTCGAATTAATAGTTTGATTTACTGGTCTACTTAATCCAAAATCGCTTATATAACATGGACTATAGCTATAATGTATAAGAATATTTCCACTGTGGAAATCACCATGGATTATATTACATCTGTGTAATTTTAGAAGTACATATGCTATACACGCTAAATTATAGTATTTTTCAAATGGATTATATTTTTTTATTAATAAATTAGATCTTAAATTTCCTCCATTTATTAATTCCATTACTATCATGTAATTCGATGTTTCTGGATCTTGGGTTATTCCAAATATGCGTACTGCTGACGAAACATTTGAATTCATACATTGTAAATGATTTTTCAACTAAATATTAAATATAAATAAATAATTTTATCAAAATAAATACTGCATATGCTTTTTTTTTTAAAAAAAAAAAACTTACTTCATTTATGAAATCATCACTAATATTTGAAGAATTTTTTAAGCTTTTTAATGCAACATGAACTCCCTTTTTTTCATTTTTATTAAGTGGTGACTTGACATCTTTTTCTTTTGCAATTTTATGATCCTCACAATTAAGTGGATCACGATGTCTTTTGTCACTAGAAATTATATATCCATCTAACCAAATTGCCTTATAAATGGTACTGAAACCGCCATGAGCTAAATATTTAATATTTCTTAATCCATTAAAAGGAATCCATTCTATGATAATTTCATCTAAATTTACGTTTACTTTCAATTGAGCCTCTTTGATAAACTTGTCGATGTATTTATTTCCGCTAGTCCAATCCGGTTGTAATAATTTGCAAATGCAAGTCAGACAATTACAATAGAAACATATGTCAACCATGTTTAAAGAAACACTGAAACTATAAGATAAATTATTTTCAACGAAAATATATTTTATATTTTTTTAATCATTATCATACTATATTAAGTAATCTAAAAAATGGTATGGGCTTCTATTAACAAGGAATAAGTAAATTTTTACCAGATTTGGATAAACAACGTTTCTAATTCTAGTATATAGTTTACTTATATATAAGGTTTGTTTTATTGATTTATTACTTTTAATGCAAATCACTTTAAGACATATTTTTGGTTTCTTTTTTTATTTTACCATTTTAAATTAAAAATTTCGAGACTTATTATTTACTCAATATAGTATTAAATGAATTAAAACGAAAAAAACTCAACAGTTATTTTGAAACACAATAATCAGAAATTCATATGCTTGTATTACCAAAAAACCAAACTTGTCTCAAAAAGAATTATATGATTTTTTACAAAAATATTTTAAATAGAAAATTATACATTTACTAAGAAAAATATAAAAATTTGTAAATGATTGAAATGATTGTTATTGATATGTTAGCCAGAATTTAGGTTAGTTCATGAAAAATTATATACTAGGACGATCGAGCTTTGTAAATAATTTAATGGCGCAGATGCGAATTAAGAAATGATAAGTTTTAATAATACAAAATACAAACATAATAATATTGATGACAATAAGTATGAGATAAAAATAAAAATTCCTTTTTCAAGATAATTCTAATAAATGAATCTCACTCATCATCAAGAAACACGTATTCCTTAAAATGTCGATTATTAAAAGTATTGTTTTGTATTTATTTAAATGCGTCAAATAATGTACAGTACACTATAGTTTTATTTTAGGGAATATACAATAAAAAAAATTATATTATACTTCTTATACTCGTTATTGTAAAATTTTCTTTTAAAGTGTAACAAATAAAATATATATAAGGCTTAAGGTACGAGTACAATTACATAATTTTTGCATAACTTGGTACAATCCAGAAATTACACAAGTGTTTCAAACAATTCTAATAATATATTGACGATCAATTAATTTCATTTAAAATGGTCCTAACTATAATTAATATATTGTGTTATTATTATCATCGTATCACTTGAATGAATTAAAAAAGTAGTTTAAAATAAAAAATAGTATTATCACTTTAATTAGTTAACACATAAATATGTACGTGGCGAACTGGCAATAATTAACATGTGTTAATCATTAGTTTATTTGCGTATTATACATTACGTACGTCTGATAACTGTACGTCTGATGCCGTACCATTTTCTTTTTCTTGACCATTCATTCCATACTTTTTAATTTCATCCTTTAAGATACTAATCTTATTATATTTCCTTAAATTGGATTCATTGACTGATAACAAACCTGTTAAAAAACATGTTATGTACTGATTGTAGTGATGATTTTTTGGTGTTCATCAGTGATTCAACACTTCAACCGCCGGGTTGTTACGAGCTATAAAAGTTTGATTCTATATGTGACGTTAACGTAGGAGGTTCCAGATCTCGTACATATTCTTAAATCTTTGTCTGTGATTTCAATCTCACGCCCTATTGTACTTCTATTGTACTTGAATGACAGGAAGCGTACCGATTGATTCCGATCACGAATTTTAATACACGTGGAAATGAATCAACGACACTACAATCAACAAACTAACTGCTAATGTAACAATCTTTCCTTGTAAATCATGTATGCATGCCTGAGGTGGCACTACACCAAAGTATCTTTTACTAATTTTTGATAGGATACGATAAAAATGTTGATCTCGCCCAACTGACGAGTGACGACACGGTTAAAGACGACGAAAAATCAATTATGATAAATTATATAAATAAAAAATGAAAAATAATATGAATTTATGTACTTTATATATAACAATTCATTTTATTTTATTTTTTCTCGTTTTTTTTTTCTTTTTTTGGTTTTCACCGGCTTCTACTTCAGCATCAGACATTTGATACATGAATGAATTAGAGGTACGGATTATCCATAGATCATTGGATATCCGATGAATATTGATTATTTTTTTTTTTCATAATAGTAAAATAACAGTAAGAAATAATAATAATAATAATAATAAAACACTTTATACAAAAAAATTATATAATTCATCAATCACTCTTTCTTCCTAACCTTCGCGGAAAAATTGTTCATCTCATTAAAACCTTCCCGTCACGTATTAAGTATCCGCAATTTTAAAAATTGTCTTTATTGTCGTCATTTAAATTTTTATCGTTTTGAGCAAATTCCACTTTACTTTTTAGATTTTGAGCAAAACTATTGTGAGGATCAATAACCAATACTACATTAATATCCAATAAAGCGTAATCATACATTTCTAATGAATAATAAACATAACTCCTTTCACATAACCCAAAAATATTATTAGGATCTCTTAATAAGGCCTTATTAAAATCTATTAAAGCCTCATCAAATTTACCAATTATCCTATATACACTACCACGATTTAATAAAGCTTTATTCTCATATTTAATATTATACGCTCTATCTTTAGCGTTACGTAAACTACTTGTTAAATCTTCTAATGCTTTTGTATAACATCCAAGGGAACGATATAATGCACCACGAACCGAAAGTGGATAACACCAATTTGGTTGTAAATCCAACACCCTATTTAAATCTTCTAAAGCCTCATCATATTTTTCCAAAGTGAATAGTACTTCACCTCTATAACATAAAGCCCAACTATTTTCAGGTTCAATCGATAACGCTCTATCTAAATCTGATAAAGCTTTATCGTATTTTCCAAGAGTATTATATAAAGCGCCACGTGTTTCCAAGGTAAAAGCGTGATTAGGATCATATTCTAACGCTTTATCCAAATCAATTTGAGCTTCATAATATCTACTCAACATATAATAAATAGCTCCACGATTCGCCAAAGCGAACACACTAGAAGGTTTTAATTGTAAGGCGTAATCTAAATCACGTAAAGCTTCTTCATATCTACGAAATGTTCTATTTAAAGCACCTCTACTCTCACGCGCCAGTAAATTATTAGGTATAAGAGTTATGGCATTATCTAAATCATTTAAAGCTTCGGCACCTTTTCTTAACATTCTATAAACTTCACCACGACTTGTTAGAGCAAAAGCATTACCAGGATCTATTTCAAGAGCTTTATCGAAATCTGTTAAAGATAAGTCAAAACATTGAATTAAACGATACACTTCACCTCTACCCCTTAATAAGAAAGCATCATTAGGTTCAATACTTAATGCATGATTAAGATCGTTAATAGCGGATTGATAATTTCCAAGTAAACGATGTATTTCACTTCTATGTTTAAGTAAAGATAAATTATCCCTTTCTAATTTTAAAGCTTCATCAAAATTATAAAGTGCTTCATTTAAATTTCCTAAAGCTTGATAAATTTCACCACGATTCTTATGACCAAAAACAGATTTAGGGTTCAATTTTAGTATATTATCAAAATCCATTAAAGCTTCAACATTTTTACCCATTTGTCTAAAAAGGGCACCCCTCCTTTCTAACGCTAAAGTATTATTTTCTTCCCTTTCCAAAGCACTATTTAAATCAGCCAAAGCCATATCAAATCTACCTATAAGACGATAAACTTCACCACGATTAGCCAAAGTGGAAGAAGTATTTCTAGGATCCAACATTAAAACATTATCTAAATCATCTAAAGCTTCAGGGAATAATTTTAAATTACAATAAACTTTTGAACGACGAGTTAAAGTATAAGAATTATTTGGTTCTAAATTTAAAGCAGAATTAAAATCACTAATAGCCTCAGCATATTTTGCCAAAGAACAATTAACTTCAGCTCTAGCCCTAAAAGCGAAAGCATTTTGTTGTAATTTTAAGGATTTTGATAAATCTATCATGGCCATATCAAATTTTTCCATTAATCTATAAACTTCACCTCTTAAAGCGTAAGCTCTTGGTTTTTGAGGATGACGTTGAATTGCAATACCTAAATCTTGTAAAGCAGAATTCCATTTAAACATTTGATGATAAGCGTAAGCCCTATCACATCTTGCAGAATAAGAACCGGGATGTTTATCCAATACTCTCGTATAATATATTATTGATTCATGAAAATTTTTTTGTTCCATCAATTCATGAGCTTTTGATAGTTGAGGATTGTCTTTTTTTGATTTTGTAAAGAATTTCTTTAATTTAGTTTGATGATTATTCTGAGTATTTAAATCATTATTTGAAATATTTAAGGAGGACATTTTATAAGGAGGAATTTCAGATTTATAATTATTATCAATGGAAGAAGAAGAGATGGTAGTATTATTACTATTTGTACTAATAGTATTATTAGAACTACTACTACTACTGCTATATTGTTGATGTTGATGTTGTTGATGATGATTTTGATGATTATGATGATTATGATTATGATTACCGCCATTACCGCCTATCCTACTAAAACCACTAAAAGTAGATTTAGTAAATTTACGACTTATTACAGGAACTTGATTTGTAGTAGAATTAATATTAACAAATGTTGTTGTTGTAGAAGCACCACCAGTACTAACACTACCATTATTATTAATGTTGACGTTGAGTTTTTTGTTGATGTTGATGTTGTTGTTGTTGATGATGGATTTATTGATGTTGAGGTTGTTTAGACTATTATTGACGTCGCCAAGGCTTTTATTAAAATTGTCGTCATTTAAAGGTGAATCTTGTGTTAGAGAAGATGATAATGATGTAACGAATGGTTGTGATGCTTGACTATCAGGTTCTGATGCACGACGTGGTCGAATTAACATAGGATTTATGACTTCGGGACTACGATAAAACTACGAAAGTAGACGCAGCATGACGTAAATAAAGGAATATGATAATAATAAAATGTAAAGGAAAAGATGATTAGATAACTTACTTCATTTGCTTCATAACTTGAATTTCTTGCAATCGAAGTTGTATGACGTCTAAATTGTCTTACTTGTTCCATTTTTGTACACTATCAGTATGAGTAGGTGTAAGTGCGGAATAATTACTTTAAAAATGTGGAATGAATATCGATATATCGACTATGGACAATATCGACTATGAAAGTAATATCGACTATGAAGATAATATCGACTATGAAAGATATATCGACTATGAAAGATATATCGACTATGGAAGATATATCGATTATGGAAGTATATTGACTATGGGATTAAATACAATATCAACTATTAGAAAATATATATATAAATTTAAAAAATAAGGTTTTTATTTATTTTATTTTATTTATATAGAGCAAAGTTATTATTTTTTTAAAAAAAAAATCCAATATTTCAAGAAAATTTTTCGTTGTATTCATAAAAATATTATACTTGATAGAAAAGAAAAGAAAAGAAAAGAAAAAAAAAATAAATTTTTTTAATAGAGGAAAGAAAAAATAAAATAATACAAAATATATATTTATTTTAATACATTCGGAATGGTTTTTTTATTTTGTTTTTTTATCGATAAACAATAAAATACATACGTAAGACGTAAGATAAGTAATTGCGGAACGTAAAAATTTTTTAAGATTTGTGAATGTTTGTTTTAAAAAATCGTTTTAATAATAAATTTTTTTTTTTTTTTACTTTAAATAATATAAAGGCATCGTTCATCCGATTAGAAAAATAAAAAAAGATACCAAATAAGGGTAAATTGAAAAATATAATAATTTTTTTTTTTATTTGGCTTAGGGCGGAATTTTAAATACTTTTTTGATATGCTATATTTAATCTATAGTTGCATTAATAAACCTGATTGTTTTATTTATAAAGGACCAAAATTCCCTAAATGAATAATAAATCAGGTATTTTAACATCATCATTTTATTTTTAATTACATCAAATGATTTTTATTTATTGAACATGTTTTAGATCCTGATGAATTAATCTTTTGGAACCTTAAATTATTAAATAACAATGAAAATACCGAAAAAGTAAAAGGAAAAAAAATCCGATTACTAAAAGGTTCAAAATCTATTAATAGAATGACAGGTTTGGAAATGATACGAGGAGATTCTTTACCGTAAAAAAAAAAATTCCGAAAATATGAAAATATTTCTTAATGCAAAACATTACAAACAAATCATATATTTCCCTGTAATAAAAATTACCAAATAAAGTAAAGTATTTTACGCAGGTTTATTTAACAAATATCTCTTATTCAGGTAATCAATACATTTTTCTTTTTCCAATAGTATTATAAAGTTATATTGTAATTATTAACTTAAATTTTTGTACGAATATATTATATGCACGTCAACAATTTACTTTAGTTACATTAAAAGGCATCAAATAATTTTTTATCATTTCTTCATTTTCACATTTTTTTTTTTTTTTTTTTTTTTTTTTTAATTTTATAGTATTTAAGGGTGTTATTTAAAGGTGTCATAGCAAAAATTTTTTTGAAGTCATTAATAAAATACTTACTTCTTAACTAATANTTTTTTTTGACTTCGAATTTAAGAACTAAAAGAAGTTTATATGTATTGTAAATCGGTTATCGCCAAATCCGGAGTTTTCACGGAGATAAAAAAAAAATAATGTATAAATAGAAAAAAATTCACAAAAATAATAAGAAAAAAAATTTTTTTTTTTTCTATTAATGGTCCCCGTTTGGGTTTCAAATGTGTTACGATTTAATTGATTAACTTATAATGGTTAATTTAGGTTACACTCACATTACATTATTTATTCTGATAATTTATTTAGTGACTGATTTCTTTATGATAAATTGTACTGCGTTGTGCTAACATAATAAGGAACTTTTAAATGCTTATTAAAAATCCGAACACCGAACTTCCGGGAAATCATTATGTCATTTTGATCGTCTTTTGTATTACGCTTTATTATGTAAATAATATTCGGTATTATGTATACACCGATGTTTTTTAGGTGCCGTCGGAATTGCCGAATTGAAATTACGGTATTACGAAATGTTGTATTTTACCCTTTAAGATCATCATCATTATAAGACTTACGGATTACAAATTATCTATGGCATAATTGTGTAATTTTTGTATATTTGGCATTTTTAAATAATTACGGCATTACGGCGATTTAATATAAGCTTCATATGCCATAATTAATTCCGACGGCAAGTATACACCGATGTAAATTACTCCACCGGTATAAAAAAAAGTATAAAAAAGTATAAAATCCATCGGTGTATCGTTATTCCATGGGTATCTAATAAATACTCCATATACTGCTGTACACCGATGTTCCCCTGGCATTCGTAAAAATTCCGTGAAAATGGTACATTCACGGATATTTATGGATATTCATGTTTATAGAGATGAAAATTTTCATGATTTAAGGCTATAAATTCCATGAAAATGATACATTCCCGGAAAAAAACATGGAAATATAAAACACGGATCAACATTTTTTACAGTGAGTAATTTTAGTTACATTCTTTCAGTTAATAAATCAAAATATCTGTAATATCGGCAAAAATTAACTTGGTGCGGGCCAGGTGATAAATATGTAGTGTTGATAAATTCGTTTTATACAAAAAAATGAACTAGATTATTGTATATTAGTTAGTTCAATGACATCTATTGCATTAAAAATATAAATACTAAATTATCAGTTTCATCGTAAAAAAAAGATAATGATCCAGTCGTCATTTTACCATGACAAACTATAATGAATTTAGTCTGGTAAAGAAGTATAATCACAACAAGAATTACGAAAATTTATTTTTTGCATAATGTATTTATATCGTGAATTCTACTCGGAAAATTATCCGGGAATTTTGTACGTTGTCGTTACCTTTCTTTACCAAAATAAATCTCATTGATACGCAAAAATGAACGTAAAATCGCAAAAATGAACGCAAAATCGCAAAATGAATACAAAATAAGGGATATAATATAATCATTTAATAAAGTTGAGACAAAATCTAGAAATAAATAAATATAACGCCAATCAATTTGAAAAATTATTTTGCAAGAAGTATTCTTTACTCTACATACCGTATCCTTCAAATAGTATGTTTAAAAGATTTAAAAATTTCAAAAAATGACAATTTAAATACTTTGAATAAATACGAACAAAAAAGGTTTGTGTTCCAATTGTGAACGACTAAAAACTGATTATAATTGGCAATAGTAAAACATTTTAACATGATTTTATTAAATGAACTAGTGAAAATAAATACGTTAACAAATTTATCCAAGAAGCTCAACTGAGTGCAAGAAATCGATTTGAAGGTATAGAATGGATTCCTTATAATAGATTAAGATATTTTACTGAGGGTGGTTTTAGCACCATTTATAAATTTGGCTAGATGGATTTATACTAAAAATCTAAAATGGTGTAATGAGATCCAAACACCCTATAAAAAAAGTCGTTCCGTGATTTATATTATGGGCCGCCGTAGACGCAAAAGTATATACAAAAGTTATATATTTTTGTATATTCAAATGATCACTTTTGTATATTTAAATAATTTTTGTATATACTTTTTGCGTCTACGGCAGCCCATATTTCATAACAAAGTTTATGTTAATCTAGTCATATTTATTTAAATCTATTTATAGACAATGCACTAATTACCAAAAATCGTTCATTATCTTGTCATATAATCAGAAAAATCTATTACAGTTTATATAACGATATGAGGAAATATCGTTATATCAAAGTTATACCGATATTTATATGTCCTCACATATAGTGGGAAAATAAAATTTTATTGGTATATCAAGTTTTTAATAGTATATCGGTATATCGAGGTTAGACTGTATTCTGCGAATCTGCAAGGGTTTACCACAAAATCCTGACAACTATAATATCGACAGTCTATAATCTTAATACAATAATCTCAACAATCCCAACAAATTCCGGTTGAATCAACATCCCGATAGTCGTAAATTTAACAGTTAAAATCCAGAAGTTATTTTCCAATAAGTGTATAATTTTTAAAAACGCTGTGGCGCAGGCGCAGTATCGTGTCAAATATATCGTTATAATTTGATTAGTATTTTAAAACGCAAATTGTTTTCATATTACCGAAATTGTTTTAAATGAATCATAAACTGACTATGATGCACGAATTACATTACCATTTCAAATTTGTCATCTTATTTTTCATAAATATAATTTTCTTCAAATAATTGAGCCACATCATTTGCTTCAGGAGACATTTTTGATTTTAGGATATTAATTAAACACTATTCTGAAGGTAAAATGCAAAGGTAAAATAAATGTCATAGCACGAGATTGAAAAGTTCAACGGTTGTCTTTTAAATTAGAAACAATCGCATTGAAAATTAACGTTAACCAATCTCAAATTTATCCGGTTGAATTTCAGGGTTTGACTTTAGATCATCAAGACTGTGACTATATCAGGATTTTAATTTAAATCGGGATTTGAATTTCAGACTGTCGATATTATGGTCAGGATTTTTGGGAGATCCATCCTTCAAAGCTAACCGAAATTTTATTATATCAAGAAGAATTAAGTTCTAAATTCATAACAGACGAAAGAAAACGGATGCTACAATGAAACAAACTTTTCGTAATTTTTTTCATATTACAAACATAATTTAATTATTTTATTTATTTATTAGAAAAATGTATGATTTATTATTCAAAATTAAGTAGTAAATTGTTAATAAATATTTCGTATCTTTTTTTTTATACTGTAGATCCTTTCTAAAGAAAATGATAGTGGGTTTTCTTTTCTGCTCGGTGAAAATGTCGCATTCTGAATCTGAGAACCTATGTAAAAAAGGATGGAATTAATTTTTTTTTATTAGTAGAGTTGTTAAATAATGATAAATTAAAAATTGATTGAAAAATAAGAAAAATGCAATGTAAATTATATAATTATGACTCATGACTAAATTATGATTGTTATGAATAATGTTCAAATTGTTACAGTATATGCCATTAACGTGTAAGAGAGTTAGCTTATTTATATCACTTGTTTAAGAGCATTTTTTCTTTGAAAGAAATTTTTATCAATGTCAATCCATCATGATTTCCCGTACGTATATTATTTTTCAATCTGGATTGACCATTAAGCTATGATTCTCAAAGGGATAATGACCTACACTGAAGTATCAAATAGGAATAGTGACCGAATCCTGGTTCTGTTTCTGCTTGCATAATATATCTCTCAAGACATTGGCGGTGGAAAAGGTAATCGGAATTTTAGGATTACTCTTTGGAAAATACTGCAAGGATTGAGTTTCGGAATTCTGCTGGGGATAGTTGAAATCTCTTGATTTCGAAGATAATTTAATGCAAGTACTTCGAGTTGAGAAGGCTCAGAAGTATCTGTTTGAATTTCAGAAGCGCTGGTCAAAAGTTCGCTGATTATAGTGGTGGATGATGGTTCACTGGCTATAGTGATGAATTGTAAGGAGAAATGAAATAATAATCTCTCTCATCCACTTCCTACAATCCTACTTATACATTCTCCGATTTGAAAAAAAGTAATATTAGTCCGAAACATTAGAATGAGAATCCCGAAATTAACGCACCTATCTCGTTCTCATGCACTAAAGGTCTGCAGATATAGTTGCATAACAAGCCAGATCTTCGTGGGCAATCTAATTTACTGATCATGAATTAAGATTTCATCTATTAATACACGTTCTTTAACGATCAGAATATTATTAGTGTACATAATCGATAGGAGGTCCATTACTGCTCTATTATCCATATCGTAAAGTAAGCTTTTTATTTGCATTAAAAAAAGCTGTTTTTTTTATTATTTTGCAATATAATTATATAGAATTATTATCTATAGTAGTTACTAGTTACATGTGCATTAATGAATAATTGACAGCAAAGCGTTATTATCTAGTTACATATGCATTAATGAATAATTTTGACAGCAAAGCGGTAAAGCTAAATAAAAATAGTGATTGACTATATCATATAATTAAAGTTAAAAATGCCTAAGAACGTTGCGAGCTTTGTTTCTCTGCCCGTTCTCAGTTTCATTATCACCTATTCTTATATAATAAGCGTAAGTAATTCGCGTACTTCTTCTCCATTTAGTGACCTTAGTTCGTGTCTTGTAGTCAGATAATTCATAGGCAAATGACCTGAATCGACGAATAAGGGTTCAATGTTTTGAACGTTCCCACGAGTAATAATAGAATTTTTTGTTCTTCCCGCGAAACGAAGTTCCTCTAAAAAAAATTAAAAATTAGTAACATTTTTAAATTTATTTTTATTGGGAATGAAATAATATACATACGAGCGCGAATAGTTTCCTTAACATCATTAATAGTTTCTTTAACATCATTAATAGTTTCCTCAATAATGTATCTAACCTAGTGTAACACTTTGTATTTCGCGTAATATTGTATTAAGTGAAGCTTGACGAATTTGGCGAATTTGTGGCATTATGAATGTTATGAAGATAAAAGGAAGACAAGATTGTGTGATGAGACTACTGTATTGATGAGACTATTATTGATGAGATGACCTCATTCACCCGCTGATCATGACCTATAAAAGGCTGAAAGGTCGTACCAAAACCCCACTGATGAGTCATTTGATTTTGAGCTAATCACGTGCAATTAATTATAATCGGCACCAACGAAAAAAAATCTACACTTCGGCACTTAATTAAACGTTGAAAAAACTGAGAATAAAACAACATAAGAATTTCTGGTTTTTTTAATATATACCTATTCTTTTTTTAACAAAATTTTTATTGACATTAGTTGGTAAGTTTTTTCACTTTTCTGACGGAAAAGAAATTCTTTGTTGTTTTTTAAGTATGTTAAACATTTTCTTTCTTTTTAGGAGACTGAATCAAAAACTTTTTTGGCAAAATGCCTCGTACTATAAAACCTCGTGGTATCAAATATAGTAAATCACGAGCATTTACTCGCAATACTGAAATTCCAATACTTCAACCTATATTTCTTGAACAAACTTATGATTCAAATCCTACCGAATTTAATTTGCAACAAAGTGATGATGATGATGTTAATGATGATTTTATTGATGAAAGTATACCTGTTGATAGTGATGATAGTATTTATAGAGAAAAGCAAACTCGTTTGAATAAATCCTGGCAGTCAATTCGTGTTCAACTTAAAGACGCGTTAATTGAGTTGGAAAGTCAATGTAATGTTGAAGAAAATATATGTCTTTATGGAAAATGTTATAATAATGAACTATTTAAAATAATTACAGTCGATTGTATTTATTTTGAACGTAAGTTAATTGTTATTTGTAAATATTTATAAAAATTTTATTAATTTATTTATTTATTTGTTTCTAGATGAAATTAAAAAACAATTCAATTTGTGTAATTGTGAACAGTTGCGTTAACACGCAGAACATTATTTCCTGCTTCTCCTATAAATCCATTAATTGCATTTGAAATAAAATTATTGGAATTTGCAGAAAAACTACTTCTATTAGCACAAATATCATATGAAAGTTTTGTATTGCTTTAAGACATATTCATGATAATAAAGTATGTATAAATGAATTTTAACATTTTTAACAATATTTAATTATTAATGATATTTAATTAAAATTTATAGCTTAGTAGCCATAAAAATATTTATAAACCTTTTATGTCTACTTTTAGACAATATATATTAGTTAAAAAAGAAAAAATTAAGAACAAGTGGTTAAGAAACTCTGTCCTGCATGTCCATTAGTAAGTATTTATTGATATTCTTAATATAAATAATTACATATACTTATATTTTATTTAGAAAAATTCATGTAATTCAGGTTCTTTAAATAGATTAACTGTATGTTTTGATGGATGTTTCCAATTACGACGATTAAAAATTGGTGGAAATGATAATACAGAAGAAGATTATTATTCTAAATATTTTATTTGATTTTGAAAAATTATATTTACAATATTTACAAAAAGAAAGTTCTGGGGTAAATTTTGATTAATAAATATTAAAAAGTTGAATTTAAATTAAATATTAAATAATTAACAATATGTTAAGAAAATGATCCATGTATGAAAGCTTTTAAGGCAGCAAATGAAAAAAATTCTATAATACTTTCAAATGCATTGGATATTAGTGGAGTTGTTGGTACAACATGTAAACATGGAATTCCAATGAAATTTTTAATATAAAAACAAGAGAAAGGTATTTATTTTTAAATAAATATTATATTATTAATTATTGTTATATTATTAGATTAGTATATTCTTTATTTTTATTAAGTAATATTTTAGATAAATTTGGATCACAAATTAATGTTATGTATGATATTGGATGTACAATGGCCAAACATTTAAAGGTAAATTATTTATAATATTAATAATTAATATAAATATATAATTAATTTATTATTAATATTTTTAATATTAATAAAACAAACTATGTATGGAGTATAACTTGACACAGAGCCCTTTGGGATTACTATCATATGATTCTTCTAACAATATATGTGTAAAGTATCACAAAAACTTTAGGCACAGTAAATTAACAATATATGCGCAAAGAATCACCTGTCATTGAGCCCTCTGCTCCTCTGGGAGCACTATCAAATGACTCTCCTAATAATATATGTATTTTCTCGCAACCCATATTAGAAAAAAAGGTGCAGTAAAGTTTCGTTTAATTTTGACCAGCACTATTCAATAATTTCAGCCAGAACTTTGGATATAATAATTCGGCACCCAAGCTGGCATAAAACTGGCAAACTAATAGAACATCTCTGGCTCCCTGCAAGTTCCATGACAGTTCCCTACCAGTTTCACGATAGTTCCATAGTGCCAAGCTGGATCCTCGAATCACATGTCCTAAAGATCGGCCAGAATTATGATATAGTGTCAGCCAAAATTAAACGCAAATTTACTGCGCCACCTGACGTAATATTTTTTACATCATTTCGGCAAAACCAAATAGGCGCCATAAAACTTAGCATAGAAATTGGTCCTAAAACTGGCACAGTGAGTCAGAATCTTCATTATAAAAGCCGGATCTCAAAATGGTATAGTGGAACACCCTCATAGAAGTTGACCTACAAAGAATCAGTAACATAAATTATAGTGGAACCCATTTATTAACACAGTATGTAATGAAAATAGAAGCATTCAGATTATTTGGTCATAGTTATATTTAGATTATTTAATCACATGATCTCAAATAATAAATAGGAAAAGGTCTTGACAAGCAATTTCAAAGGTAAGAAATATAGTAGGAAAAATAAGATGGTATAAAAAAATCGTCTCACTTAAGTTATTTAATTAGATTATTTAATCATATTCAGGTTATTACTTTTAGATTATTTAGTTGTATTTAAATTATTTAGTTATATCTAGATTATTTAGTTATATTTAAATCATTTAGTTATATTTATATTATTTAGTTATATCTAGGTTATTTATTACTAAATAACCTAGTCTAAGCCGATTATGACTAAATAATATAATTATATTATTTAGTCATAATCGGCTGCATTCGCTCTGGACAATATTTTACAATAAAATGGTATTTTAAGACAATACTCATACTGAATTTTAAAAATATTGTTAACACAGAATCATAGTGAAAAATAATATTAAAAATATTGAAATATTGTCTAAATGAAAAATCTATTGTATATTATTGATACATGATTTAGGTGTCTTGTTTCAAAAAGTCTAAAAAGTGTGATCTACATAAATTTGACGTTTTATATTTCCAAACACGGTAATGCACACAAATCCTTTGAAATCTATGAAAAAGATATAAATAAGCGAAAAATTTTCATATTGAAGAAAAATAATTAAAATTCAATTAAAAAAAAAAAAAAAATAGAAAAAAGAAAAAAAGAAAAAAAATTTTGATAGTTTTCACATAATTCAAACTTTTAAAATTAAAATTTTCTAACAAAATGAATCAAACCGAAGTTACCATTAAATTATCCATTCCATCTATCGCAACTGCTGAAGTCACTGAAAAGCCGAAGGCCATTACTGATTGTACAGTCATGTAATAAATTAATAACATTTTGTAAACATCTTCATTTTAATGTATAGTTAAATAATTATTTTATCAATATGTCTATAGTCTACAACTTTTAAATCTATTTATTTTTAATATCAAATTTAATTAATTAGTTTACTTGTGTTATTATAATTATCAAATTACTTAATAATTCGAGTCACTATTCATATTTTATATCTTTTATTCCGTATCCTATATAAATTTTATTATTTACTATTCACTTTATTTTTACTCTAAACAACACCCACATTTCTCAACAACGTTCAACAACGGTACTATAATCAAGAACAACAACAAACCTTCGAAGATTTTTTCTGTGTGTCGACTGCGACGATATGTCAGTTCGTTCTCAACAACAAAAGGAAAGATGGAATCGTCAATAAGAATCCTCGAATAATAGATTAAACCATTTTTCTCTTGCATACAAGGAATAAGAAAATTAATCCTACTATTATTAAACGAATTCAACATGTGCCTTGAGAAATAGTGAAAAGTTCATGGTTCACGCCATAATACGGAAACTGCCAAGTCCGTAAAACCTTCAAAAATTGGAAACGCCGTAAAAAAAGAAGAAGAATCAACGGAAATTACCTTAACCTACACTTCCTCTCAGTACTAGATGAGTTCAACCCCAAATAAAGAAACGCTACGATTGTAGCAGCTTACCCGATTTTTATGAACGTGCAGATATCTCACATGGTGATCACTGCGGCGATCATCGAAGGTGTTACAGTACTAGACGATACTTTCTTCGATATTTCAGAACAAGACAGCAAATTACTTTCACAACCAGATTTGTTCCTTCAAAAGAACTCCACACTCCGATAATGATACATCAGTGACAGTACTGTTAGTATACAAGCGGAAACTATTACGTTTCCGCTCACACTTCAGCACATGGACAATTATTTCCGTACCAAAATAAAAACAATATCAGGCCTATCATAACTGTACCACTCTACCTGACAGTATGTGCATATAGCATCCTAACCTTTTTTCATTTCCCTTTTTTTATTTTTTTAGAATGAAAGAACAATACATTGGATTCGAGCGATTATTAATCATTCATTTAGATGATTATTACATAGTTTTTATTTCACACGCCCTGGTGAGAGCTGTAATATTTAATGTAGTGCATTATAGCTAGTCCGACTTCCCCTTCCAACGGAGAAAAGTCATCCTAGGGTGACTTTTTTACAGTTTAATTTTGTACTATTCCGAATTAAATTATGTAACCTCCAGTAGTCGTTACTGATAATGTATTTCTCTGAAGTAAAATAAAAATTAAATAAAGAATACAAACGCGTTATCTGCTAACTTTTATAAATGGACCAATGATTTCAATATGATAATTTGATCTTAAGAACTGAACGGTGTTGACAATTATTTCTTTACAAGTATGTGGTACGGCTGGTCCCTTGTTGATAAGAAAGTGAAATCCTGGCTGGTCGTCAAAGGGTATCCTTGCATTATTCCTAAAATCTATTTATTTATTTATTTTGATATTAAACCAGATGAATTTGTTAGTATTTTTTTTAAAAAAAATTGATATTTAATATTATATATTCAACAAAAATTGCTCATTTTTTATTTACGTTTTCATTTCTTCGATTATACAGTACCTGCATGGAATTTTGTGACCAGCATAAGTTAGCTTAATTAATTTAACATCCTACTTGTCTTCGGTCACTTTAAGAATTTGCGACCATTAATCTTTACGTATAATTTACCCACCAAACAAAATCCTTTTTTTATCTTAAATATCCAAGTCACCCATTTCCTTCACAAAAATCTAATTTCAATTTTTTGTTATATTGTGAATTATTTTTTCCGTTGCTATATTTTGGCAAATATAACAAGTATGTGTTCAAAAATATTTTGTAAAAGAAATTAATCTGTCGTACAAACACCGTGATTAATGTGGATTTCGTCTGATTTGCAACATAGGATAAATAATCATAATTACGCTTATTTTAATATTAACTCCACGCACCAGAATTACATAATGCCGCCTGGTGTGTTGTTACCTTTTTTTTGTATTAGTACCTTGAAAATAATAATTTAGAGAATGAAATGGCATATAGGGGAATGTAAAGTACAAAGAAATATTCTATCGAGTAAGTTTTTTTTACATAAATTATTCATTAGTTTGTATAACATGTAATTTTTTTTTTTCCACTAATAAATGGTTTTAACTGAAGTTCAAATTGAAAGTATTTACGGCTATTTGGTTAATTCGATAATTCAAGATCGAATGAATGATATGGAAGCCTTAAATGAAAGTCTAAATAATTATTTTTCTATTTTTGATCTTAATGAACATTAGCAAATTTATATATATATATTTTTATTATTGCAGGA